AAAATTGTAATGATATTTTTATTATTGCTTTTTAAATTATCTAATTATTTATTTTTATTATCAAAATTAAAACAAATATGTATTGGTTTCAAAAACAATATTTTTAAATCTTTTAAATTAATATCCATTTACTGTCTTGTCTGAACTTAATTACTAACACTACTTACATATGAATTCCAGTTCTTAAAATCCACAATTATTAGGTTGAAACTTACCTGAAAAAAAAGCAAATAAAAATTAATAATTGGAACAGAACCTCTATATTTAAATTTTATTACATAATAAACTGGCAGTTGTTGTACCCATGGCAGTAGCATAGTAGTAGGTACAATAAATGCTAGTATTTTTTACATCACTTATGGCTCTGGTTTGGCAAGGTGCAACTAGGAGGGGCTAGTGTATTTTTAGCCTCCCACCACAACCACTAAATTGCCCCCTCCCCAGATGATCGGCGCGGGTCGTTTAAAATTGGTTTTACCCTCAAATTAATGTTATCTTATAAGTGAGTTGAACCTCCAAAAGACTAGAGCCCCCCTAAAAGTGAGTATCTAGTTGCGCCACAGTTGACAAATAAAACTATTATTGTTAGTTTTTTTTTACTTTTACTATTAGACTGATAGTTTTTACAATATAACATAGATGAACTAATAAACAAAATAATATTTGATTTAAGTAAGAGATATAACAAATATAAATATAGTTATATATAAAGTTTGTTCTGTTCTGTAGAATCATAAACTACAAGGAAACTAAATAATACAACAATAACTGAAACCAACGCACGTTTCAATAATAAAGCATAATAAAGCAAAGATCTAGTAAGGATACGGTTAGCTTCTCACACCTACAGCACATAACTTCTAGGTTTTGAATTAAAGTGAACTGCAGACATATGAAAACATTTTGATGTCTTTGGGTACATTTTTAATATGTATCCAAAGACATACTTAACCATATTAAATGTTTAGATATACAGGGTGAGTCTTAAATAAATGCAAATATTTTCAGGGCTGGTAGATCTCGGTAGATCTGGTAGATGTCGGTAAAAAAAACTTTTTTTCCAAAAATATTTTCTAAAGAGAAAAAAGAAATATATTTTCTAATTCACTTCTGCATCACTGATTCATCGGAACTTTTAAACGCAAATATCTTGAAAACCGTTCGCTGTTTCGATCTAAACGAAGAGCACCTTTTTAAACGGTTTTATTTAGCTCGACCCGTATGGTATTTATTTGTTTGTTTATTTGGGTCAAAATTAGAAATTGAAATTTAAGTACCTTCCTGTTGTCAGATTGATCTGAAATTTGGTACACACCTTTAGTTCCGATGACAATACAATATAGTAATATCAATAACATTGTAAATCTAAGATGGCGGTACAAAATGGCGGATTTCATATTTTTTCACAGCCCCCTCAATATGGGTATCAAATGAAAGGGCTACACTAGTAGAATACTGTGATTATGACAAAATTTAAAATCCAAGATGGACGTCGTTACAAAATGGCGTATTAGGTGAGGGCATGAGTAGTCGTGTCCAGAACAGTTGTGTCCAAGATTGTGTGACGTTAGAAGGACAGATAAAAAAATAGGTGATTAGATGTACCTACGTAGTTAGCGGTAGCTTTACCACCCAAGTTAAGGTAATAGGTTAAAACGTGCTGAGGACTGTACAGCATTAGGGTGGCTAAAAATGTAATGTCGCAAGCGTTTTCCCTCAAGATTGGGCGCCTCCTGCTGTATATTATAGCCTTGCCCTCTACTGAACCCTCTGGGGGGTCGACCGTTAAAATGTCCATTACTCGTGGGAACAACATGGAAACAATAAATAAAAAAACAAACAAAAATAAAAACGAAACTGCTACACAACGAAAAAGAAGGCTCGAAAAGGCGAAAGAAAAGTATAGAACGAAACGTGCAAAAGAAAGTGAAAATGAAATCTATAGTCGACTACAGAAGCGAAGAGAACGGTTAGCAACAGAAACACCTGAGCAACATGATGCCAGGTTAATAGCACAACGTGAGAGACAAAGGCAGCTGGTAGAGTCACAAACACCTGAGCGTCATGAGTCCAGGCTAGCATCACAACGTGACAGACAGAGAGAGTTGTTAGCGGCAGAAACACCTGAGCGTCATGAGTCTAGGCTGGCATCATAACGAGAGAGACAAGGAGAGTTGTTAGCGCCAGAAACACCTGAGCGTCATGAGTCTAGGCTAGCATCAGAACGCGACAGACAGAGAGAGTTGTTAGCGTCAGAAACACCTGAGCGTCAGATTGTAATAAACTATCAGGTAAAAAACCATGTAATAATGATGCACTAAATTAATTAAATAGAATGAGGAATATTCGGTAGGCATTTCCGTTAAATACTAAAAACTAGAAAATAAAAAATCGGTAAAAAAACATTTAAGTTAAACGGTTTTATCTTATGTGCACTGAAAACTAGAAAATAATAATAACAATTAGGTATTTTAAACTTCTAGTTCAGAAATATTTTAGTACTAGGCAGAATAGCTTTTAGGCATATTAGACTAAAATAAAAACGTGGGGCCCCTCTGAAATCCTACCTATGGCAAAGCATATCTTTATACTTTGGTAGATCATGAGCTCGGCGTTCGCTGGTGAAGCCGCCATGGCTGGTTATTGATTGTCAAAATCTCCAGTTGCGATTATAGTAAGTCGATGCAATCCACACTTAGTATAGAAGAAAGTATTACAGCAATAGTTAATGGGCCCCACGTTTTTATTTTAGTCTAATATGCCTAAAAGCTATTCTGCCTAGTACTAACATATTTCTGAACTAGAAGTTGAAAATACCTAATTGTTGTTATTATTTTCTAGTTTTCAGTGCACATAAGATAAAACCGTTTAACTTAAAAGTTTTTTTACCGATTTTTTACATAAAAAAATTCAATCAAACATTTCGAGGGCTGTAATTTTTTCGGGAAAAATAATTGTTAGGCATATGTTAATTGGAAATTTTTTGTTTTATTTTTATCTGTAGAATCAATTATCTGTAGATTCAGTATTTTGACACCCTGTATACCGTGTGCATCTCAAAAGTGGTTCACCCCCATAAATTTTTTACTTTTTCAGATAAAAAAACGAGATTTGGTATGTTAGTAGATGATATAAATTAGGATTAATTGGACGTATTCAATTGTTTTTGGTTACTACCTGTTTCACCGGAAATTACTATAATTTTTGAATTAGATGATCAAATCTATTTTTCCAAAGCTCCTGGATTAAAAATTAGTGTTTTTAACACAGCCACTCTAGATTGAAAATTAAAATACGATTTTTTTTAAAAGATAATGTGAAAAGTTGACATATGATATGTCATTCTATTCAGAATAAAACAAAAACATACCAAGGGTGCCATTTAAAAATCAAAAGTTGCAGTCATTTCCGATGAAACAGGAAGTGACCAAAACAATTGAATACGTCAATCAATCCTAATTTATGTCATATACTAACATACCAAATCTCGTTTTTTTATCTGAAAAAAGAAAAAAGTTATAGGGGTGAGCCACTTTTGAGACGCACCCGGTATATAGTAGTAAATAAAATAAAACATTGTTTGTAGTAGTTATCTACAAAAACAATCATAGTGGATAGGTGGCACAATTTTAGATTGTTCCGGGAATACAACACAATTTTTTAGTTTCTAAAATTACACTTTTTATACAAACCAACCTAGATAAATACGTCATTAAATAGGCTTCATTTTACTACAGATTAATAATTTAATTTTCCTAAATTAGGGAAGTTTTAAGGGCGCTTTGGTCTAGTAAAGGGTCGGGGTTAATGTCGAATTCGGTCACAATTAGCTAACTACAAAGGGTCAAACTTTTAGAGATGATAACGCCATCACGTTGTTCGACTTGTTGCCAGTATGCGCTCGCTGTGGATTCTGACGCAATTATAAGTTGGTTATTCTGATATTGGATGAATATGGAAAATGTAGAGACCTTTATTGTAAGTTTGTCAGCCAGATTTAACACTTCTAATTCACTTAATAACTAATATAAATGAGCAGGATTAATAATAGCTAGTAATGAGATAATAAGCAATGCTTAGAAAATTATACACATATATGAGTTATGTGTTGAACAATGATAAAACATAAAGTTAACGTTTACCCACAATCCTAATAAATCGATAATATTGACGCATTCCTCTTTAAAAGAGCTAGGAGAGATGTTGAAGATTTTGGCGTCAGAATTTCTGCTGACAACAACTAGGATCGTTATTTTAACCATTCAGAGGGATGTGTTGGACAATGATAAAACATAAAGTGGCATAACGATTACCCACAATGCTAATAAATCGTTGATATTGACGCATTCCTCTTCAAAAGAACTAAGAGAGCTGTTGACGACTTTGGGTCAGAATTTCTGCTGACAACAACTAGGATTATTTTTTTAACCATTGAGATAATAGTTATTTTTTATACAAGACGTTGCTGCAAGACCAATACCAAGAAAATATTGGTCTTGGTGCTCATATTTTGCAACAACAATTTCTGTAACATGTTAGTAAGTAACTACAGACGTTTATGATGCACACTTATAAATACTGCTGAATAAAAAAAACAAAATTTCATGCACATATCGTATAATTTCAGGAACGCAGAAACAGAATAAGAAATTTTTAGTTCTTGATCCCATTAAAATCATCTAAATCATAACAATTTCGTAAACTACTACTAGTATCCAATTTATTATAGATGTAAAACACCTATTTTTATGACAAAATCTATTAGTGGCCCTCTCAGCCTACTTTGATAGGCCATTTGTTCACAGAATAAGGCCACTTTGTGAATACCGAGGAAAATAAAGTTATATTTTTATTTTCTAAACTGTGGTATTTGGTTATTTTTTTCTACGCTCGTGTCAGACGGCTTTGTTCTTCTTGTTCTAATTAAGCGATAACCTCCTGGGTCCATCAAATTTAGTACATATTTTTATCTTCCCATTCTTGTTTATCGTTTATTTATTAAAATTATGAACAAAATACTAACGATTTTAATGTTTTTATATCAGTGAGTGTTGTGTATCCACAGTGAGAAACAGCATGGCATCAAATTTGTGAGAGTTTTCCGCATATTCAGATTTATTATAAACTAATAAGAAAAAAAAAATACTATTATACAGGGTGAATATTAAATAAGTACAAATATTTTTTCAGGGTAGTATACTTTGACCATAGAAACAGTCTATGGGTTTTTTTTTCACGAAAAAAAATCAAAATTTGGAGTTTTTTTTTAATTTTGGAATATTTGTTAGTTTTTAGTTAAAAAACATCATTTATTGATAATATTGCAACATAGGTAGTAGATCAAACTGCCGTGAAAAAAAAAACAGAAAAGATCCACTGGTTCTGAAAATTTAAGAAAACTAATTTTTTTATTTTCAAAGTTAAAAAACTCGTTTATTTTGGACTTATTTGAAAAACTGTAATGAGAAAATATGTTTCTTTTATCCAGATCTAATAGCCCTGAAAATATCTGCACTTATTTAAGACTCACCCTGTATATTAGGATCTGTTATTAGCTAATAATAATTTTCAAAAGTATTTAATAAATTGTTTATTCTATTTTGAAAAAGAAAATTGACATTAAATAATGTAAATAATTTTCTTGACTTCTGAAAAGAATAAATCTAAGTTTAGTTTTATAAATCCTTATTAATTCAAATAAAATTATTATGACATTAAACGCTATTTGTTTGAATAATTAAAATACATATTTATGTTGAAAACCAAATATAATAAATTCTTATTTGAATTTCATTCATGAGCTAAGATTGTGATCCAATTATATTTCTTTACAGAGAGACGACTGAAAAAATTCGCCAATGTCTGGTAATATTTGTTTATGCAGTTTATTACTTATTTTTGTTGGCTCCATATCACTATGGCAAAGCTATTTACAAAGCGCTTGTACCAGATGAACCAAAGAACGTTAATGGGGAAATTGTTTTGGTAAGTATAAGTACCTTGATTTTTTTATATTATAGAATTTTATAAGCTTAGTGTGTTAGTGATAAGCCTATTTAAGAAATGTTTGTTAACAATCATATATTATATTTAAATAGTTTGAGAGTAGTATGGTGGCTGTACTACGTAGACCCAGATATACTGGTAGGGAAGTATGGCCAACACAATCACTTACTATTTACCTTTCGATTGAGAATCCCAAGTAAGGTAACTTAGATACCTAGAAACTATTTATTTTTCTTTAAAAAAATCAACAACTGAATCAGTAGGTCTAAGAATAGGTTGTTATCTATTTTATTTACCCATAAGTGATAAGGGTGGTCCACCCCAATATTTTTTTTATCTTTTGGACAATTTTTTTATTTTTTTATGATGTGGCATTAAAAATACATACAACCCTAAATTTTCACCCTTCTTCCATCAACCTCTATTTTTAATAGCGATATTAGTAATTCAATAATTTTCAACCCGTGAATAAAAATGATTGTTGTTCCATAAAAAATATTTATATGGCAAAACGTTTGCCGGGTCAGCTAGTTTAATAATAAAAAAATACAATTTAGATTTGAACCAATAGTATAACGGAACTATAATAATACCGTATGGTCGAAAAAAAACGGCGTCAGAGATGGCTATGAAATGAATCTAGAGTTATAAAAATACATGGAAGTATTGATATTAGTTGTATTGGTATACAAAATATTAGAAACTTTACGATTTCAAGTCACAAGAAGTATTGGCTAACCATATGTACATCTGCCATTTACACCTAATTTCTATAATAAAAATGTAACTTATAAGGATTTTACCAAACTGGATATATATATTTTTAGATTACTGGTACGGGTCATGGCATGGGACGTTTACTGGCTCTAAAATATGCCAAAGCGGGTGCAACTGTGGTTGGTTGGGATATCAATGAACATCTTAACAACCAAACAATCCAGGAAATTAAGAAAATGGGTTATACTCGTGTATACGGATACAAGTATGTACCAATCAGAAGAATTATATATTTCTATTTAGAAAAAGATAATTTCTTTATATCTGTTACTCATATGAATGACAATTATGAAGTAAAATCAATTCAAATTCGTTCAATACAAGTGGTAGAGTCCTAATTCTATTGCAAATAAATTCAGAATATTTCCAAAGAACAATCTTACCTTTGTTCAAGTTTATTCTATTTCTTCTTCGGTCTTTGAGTCTTGTAGCTTGTATACAGGTTCGGCAACGTCTGTCTTAGGGTACTGATTTTCGGATGTACGAAGAATAGAGTTAATGTGTTCAGTAAAAAAAAACGTACTGAATAATGAGAGAAGAGCATTTTTTCATTTTTCTCTCTCCGACTTACCAGATCGCCATAGCGAGTCACTCCATATATGTAAATACCGACCCAAGATTTTCTGTTGCCGACAGTGTATTTACGAGTATAATAATCAATATAATTCATTATCACTTAAAATGTGTTTTGTTTTTGGGTTTATTGACTTGTTTGGTCGTTGGCCAATTGTGCACTTGACCCTGAAATCATAAATCGCAAAAGCAAGTAAAATTTGCAAATTATGGCCAAAGTTTGTTTTCAAACAGCTTTTATAGTTTATTTTAGCAATTCTATATACACTATCGGACAAAAGTAGAGCAACACTTCGAGAAATATTTGCAAATCGCGATTTTTTAATCATACATGCATGATAATGTATACAAATACAATAAATTTAAAAACTACGAAGTAGGCTATGAGTATCCATTACAGCAAGAATTTTTACTAATAAAACAAATGAATTTATTTTGACATTTAGTTTTAAATACTTAATAATAACGCGTCAAAAGTAGAGCAACATAATTCATTCCAAAGAAGGGTTCTAACAAAAGTAAAGGCCAAAATAATTGTGCGAGGTTTATTTTATGTTTTTTAAATATTTCTATGCTGGATTAGTCCTGCCAAGAGGAATTCCAATTTCAAAAGACTTGCAGCAAAGAGTTGTGAATGCATTCATGGAAGGTAACAAACAAGCCGATATTTCAAGACAGTTTGTGTTACCCGGTACAGTGTATCTAAAATAATTTCATCGTATAATGACAGGGGATACTTAGAAAAGTTGCCAAAATCGGGAAGGCCAAAGCAGAGAAAGAAAACAACAGTAATGACCGACAGACGCATCAAAAGAATTGCTCAAAATGATCCTTGGAAGTCCGCATCTAGAATTATTGCCGAAATTCCAGAAATTACGGTTGGTATACGAACAGTACAAAGAAGATTAGTAGATGCAAATTTATTTAGTAGACGTCCAGCTAAAAAGCCGTTAGTTTCGGAAAGAAACAGAGCAGCAAGGTTGGCATTCGCACGTCGGCATTTAAACTGGACCGTCAATGACTGGAAAAACGTTTTGTTCAGTGATGAAACGCACTACAAAATATTCAATTCTGATCGAATGAGGCGTGTGAGGCGACCAATCAATACAAGGTTTAACCGTAAATACGTAACACCTACAATTAAACACGGCAAAGGCAGTGTATTTTTATGGGGTTGTTTCTTATGGAATGGGACAGGCCCTATACACTTTATTAATGACACGATGGACCGATTTGTTTATAGGGATATTATGCAGAATGTTATGCTTCCTTATGCAGAATGGGAAATGTCACTGCGTTTTATTTTCCAGCAGGACAACGATTCAAAACACTCTTCACAAGTTGTTCAACAGTGGTTTAGGGAAAATGACGTTCGAGTTTTGCAATGGCCAGCACAATCCCCGGACCTTAACCCCATTGAAAATCTCTGGGAAGAAGTAGAACGTCGTATTCGTACCAAAATGTTTCCAAATAAACAATCCTTGATAGATAAAATTAATGAAGTTTGGGCAAATCTTCCCGAAAATGTCATTCAGAAGTTGATTGCTTCAATGCCACGCCGTTGTCAGCAAGTTATTAATAATAATGGATATTCTATCAATTACTAATGTATTACTTTCAATTATTATTGTTCTTAAATGTGTTAAATATTTTTTGTTGAAATAAGACAAAATAAAATCTGTTGAATACAATTTGTTGCTCTAGTTTTGTCGCCTCCATTCTCATTAATTTTTATAATCATTCTTATTTACCATTTTGAAACTGACTAAAAGGACACCAAAAAAGTGTTTTAGTAAACATAGCCGAAAATTTCAACCTAATATTTTTTTTATTCAAACATAAATAAAATAAACTTTGCTTTGCTCTCTACTTTTTGTCCGATAGTGTAGCTCAAATATTGATTAATAACGAAAAAAAAACATTGTGCAATATAATATATGATCGATATTTTGTTCTTTTTTCAAAATTATTGTTTAATACATATTTTTTTCCAATTTGTGGCCTAAAAAAAACCTCTTCCTATAAAAATCTTTGTCTGTTTAAATACTGTAATATACAATATAACGTAATAATAACAGATCAATTTTACTCCAGGTGTGATGTATCAGATCGAGCAAATGTATTTGAAGTGGCTAAAAGAGTCGAGAATGAAGTGGGAAATGTAACAATTTTGATAAACAATGCCGGAATCATGCCGTCTCATTCGTTTCTGGAGCACACTGAAGACGAAATTCGAAGAATAATAAATATAAACGTCATGGGAAACTTTTGGGTAAGCGAAGAAATAAAAATAGTATCCAACAAATATACACTTATTTGTTTGTCTTAGAGTAATTTAGTTTTCTTTCAATTTTCTATTATTTGAATAACCAAAAAACTTCGCCAATATATTCTGCAGATAAAAATAAGTAAAAAAGTTGGTAGAAATGTATGTCCTAAAATGCTTAGTTTTGGATATACAGGGTGTTGAAGTTTTTTTTTATTTAGATTTTTCCAAATAATTTCTGAAATAACGTCAACATTTGGATGAAAATTGGTGCCTGGGAGTTTTTTGACATGAGAAATTTGATTTTGATGTCAATATGACTCCTACTTGTAGAGGGCGTCACCTACATATTTTTAAATGGTTTGAAGAGTAATAACTGAGATATTTGGAATCGAAATTATCAATATCTGTCGTCATTGACATACATTAAACATGTTGACTAAATAGTTATTAGACTGATATCATAAATTTGAAATGAATTCATAAAAATCACATCTCTCTTGAGATCATCACATCTCTCTTGAGAAATTTGATCTTGATGTCATATTGACATCAAGATCAAATTTATCAAGTCAAAAAATTCCGCCAAAGACGCCAATTTTCATCTAAATATTGACGTTACTTCAGAAATTATTTGGAAAAAATCGAAATAAAAATGGAAGTTCTACACCCTGTAACTTCGAAACTAAGAATTTTCGAACATTTATACGAAACTTTTTTACTTGTTTTTATCTGCAGAACATGCTGCCAAAGTTTCCGGAATATAATTCGGACCACCCTCAATAATTTTGTCTATTAACTATAGTAGACCTACCAATATATCACTTATTATTACTATATGTATAGAAAATCTTGTTGACTTTTATGTTTTATTCTATAGAAAAAATGATTTCACAAATTTTGCATATCTAAATTAAATGACGTTGAATATGGAACAAGAAAATTTAAACTATACTTTGCAATAATATTGCAAAATATTATAACACAAAAATGATAATACCCACTAAACCGCAGTATGTAATTAAATTTATAAAACGCTTGCCAAATAATAGCATTACACAGTATACACAGCTTACCATCATGGGAGTTTATTGGCAATAAATATACCATCCAGTGACCTAATATTAAAAAGGATATTGATTTTGGATGAAGCTGTTAAAATTGCGAGTTAAAAATCTCATTTGACCATTAACGTAGAAATATACCGTGAAAAGAATAAAAACCACGTGAAAAATGACAGAGAGAAACACAAATTAATCAGTAAAGTTTAAAACTGCAATATAATTATTTTCAGTTTATTATATTTTTCTGATATCTAGATTTATTGTTGAACAAAAATTTAAATAACTCACTCACCTGTCAAACGAGTCAGTGTCTTTTATTCAACCAAATTGTAGTAATTTATAAAAAATTAAAAAAGTAAACATAATTAATTGCATCAATTGTATTACCATAGTATAAGGAAACTAGTAGATTTACTCCTTGTCAAATCCTTTGTTCTTTTTCTGCCAGTTTATATGACCTTGTTCTCGCCTACCGTGACCACTGACGTAGATATATAGTTATGGTCTATTAGCTAGGCAAAGTATAGTCGTGGCACTAGCCGTAGTTTCACAGATATGTATTTAGAAAAATATGAGTTCCCAATAAAATAAAATAAAATAAATTGATTATCGAGTAAAAACTTGCTTGAAAACAGAATGAAGAAGACATTTCGTGTAGATAACAATTCTTCTGTATCTGAAAATCTTCTGATGGGAAGAAATGCGGAATAGTTATTAACGGCTATGCTTTATAACAAATAACGGCCGGGTTGAAGTTTGTGATCCGAGGCGATAGCCGAGGATCATAAGCAGCCAAGGCCGTTATTTGTTATCGGCCGTGTTGCGTTCCTAGATTTTTCGTCATACTGCAGTGATTTTTTAGATACAACACTACTATTTAATAACAAATTTTATTGAACAATAACACAAGTAAGGATAAAAAATACATAATGTCTTATACTAAAATTCATTTTTCATGATAATGAATGGAAATTAAAAGTGCACTTTAAAGAAATTCTTAGAAATCTGTAATCCTTCCCAGGGATTTACAGATTTTATAGAAGAAGATGATGCTACTGAAGAATGGCAAATATTTGTATCCACTAAAGACACATTATTTTTGAGCTATCATGAAAAAAGTTGATTTTGTTATTTTCATTCTTTTTGAAACTGATTTTTCTATGTAAGTTTCTGCCACTGTTGAAGACTCCCATCCTCCTAGCTCCTTTAGCGATAGTAACACCATTTTCGGCGAGCATGGTTAAGATGATCTACGAAATGAATGCCAGTTCTGTATAACGTTCTGGGATTCTCCAAGTTCAAAAAATTTGCAATTTTCGCGGTACGCTCCCGATGGTATGTATACCGACGATTTGCTTGTACACTTGCCTTCTTTTGTAACCAATGAAAATTTTGGATTGTCAAAGTTACGAGGACGCAGGTTGATGTATTTTTGTATAAACCATAGGCATCAAACGGAAGGCCTGTTTTTGGAATAAGAAATTTCCATCTTTCTTTATTTAGTATTTCTTAATGAGACAAGAATATTTTTTCCGAATCTTCGAAATCATCAACTGTGAGTGACTAAAGCTCGCTGCGCCTACAAGCCCAAGAATACCAAGCACCAATACAATTTTTTCGAGTAACCAGGTGTAATCATCGGCATCCAGTAGAAATTATTTATGTCATTCGACAGAACTTTGGCTTTTTTGGTGAATAACCTCGTTTTGCGCCGCCTCAGAACATGAACAGTTTACCAAATCTATGAACAAATATAATTTAGGGATGAGTATGATTAAATATCGAAGAATATAATGGCTTTTTACCTTGATATGTCGATGCTTACATACTCTCTCAACGCAAGCTTCTGGCATGGATATCTTTGTCACAGTGATGTAGGAGAATACATTTCAGACATTCTTTTAGCATAAGCCAGCAATACCGCTTCATTTACGCTGTTTATACTTCTATCCTGCCGCCACTTCAAAAAATTGTCATATTCCTGCTGATATCTCTCTCTGGTTATAGTCGGAAGTATAATTTTGAGTAGCCGCAGCCGCTTCCTCCTGTATTTCCAACGGAATTTCTCGCGACATCTCGCTATGGTCTATTTTCCCAATTTTTGAAAAGTCCAACTGACAATAAATAGTCATTGTTGCAGGTGACAGACGTTACGATTACCTTAGAAACTTAACGGCCGCCGGCCGTTATGATAACGTCCGGCGGACGTTATATGCATCTTTTCCATTCTGATTTTGCTTATGTTATAATAATATAACAATATAGTATGACGAAAAATATATATAGTGAAATATTTTTATATTATTATCTATTTCAGAGATTTTCTACAATTTTATTATGATTATTATTGGAATGAAAATTTTATGGTAAATCCCCTGACCAAAGAATATTTTCATGTGCATATTTGAGACAACCTGTATATCTAAAAAACTATTTCTAAGATTTGCCCACATGCTAAAAAAAATAATAACATTTAATTAATTACATAATATCTCGGCTTCTAAAATAAACAAATATAATTAAATGTTTATTGATAATTACTATCAGCTTGCCGATTTACATCCGATGGAAATCTAAAAAAACTCAAAGAGCAATTTTTTCAATTATTACTACAATTAATAGCAGCACACAGTAAGGCACTCATTTTTTGTCAATCCGTCTCTGTGCTGGAACGCAACGCTCGAACCTCGCAGCTCGACGAACGGAATTCAACTGAAACGCTTTGCAAGCTGCCGATATTCGACAGCTTGCAAAAACTGGCAGAAAATATTTGCGAGAGTGCAACTACTCTTTTCCTTAAACTATGGTATTACATCAGTTCATCAGCTGGTTACTCTAGAAATCTTAATCCTGTTAGCACAGATAACATGTTGTTATCTGTGCTGTTAGACTTAGATATTGGACTTTAACAGCACTTTATTTTTAGACCCTACAAGCCTTTTTACCAACAATGAAAAGAAATAACCACGGGCACGTTGTAGCACTGTCTTCTATAGCCGGATGTATTGGTTGTACTAACTTAGTACCCTACAATGCTTCTAAGTTTGCAGTAAAGGGTCTTATGGAAGGACTATATGAAGAATTTAGGTAGCGACAACTCATACAATATTTTTAGCCGACCATACCAATAGGTATGGTAGGCTATTAAGATCGACAAAAAGGTTTTTTTAATTTCACTCAAAATGAGTTATTTGGGTCATAAATGACCTAAATACAAAATATTTTCATGGTGTCTGTCTGTCTGTCCGTTTGTCAAAATAACCGCTAAACAACTCAAAAACCGCTAAACCGATTTTAACCAAATTTGGCACAAAAATACTGTGGCACCCGAGAATCTTGTAACGTTTTTAGTTCGTTACATGTCTTTTTTACATTTAATATATGATGTCTGGCCTATCGTCACCGGATTCCCTCTCGTTCAGGCCTGATCATTTTGTTGGTACGCTTGGCGTAATTTTTACGTTCCCTAGTCACCAACCCTGCTATCGTTTCACTATTCTGTGGAGGCGCGCGCTGTCAACCTCGCTTCTGTCAACTCTCTGTGATTTAACGGCACTTTTGGTTTGACCGTTTGGCCTGTCAGACGCCATTAGTCCCAGTTTTTAGAAATGGTAATTATTTAAATCTTGCTGTATAATCTGAATCGGCTGCTATTTCGAGGCTACAGGTAAAGATGAGTTATTACCTTTTATAGATTCGATATTATTATTGAATATTTTTAGGGTAGAGTTACGGATGTCCCAACTCGTATTTGTATTTTGCTGGCACGTTGGCGTCCCTTTTCTTTTGTCCTCCAGAATGTCACATGGAAGAAAGGACAGGTTGTTTATTATTTATTGAGCCCTCGGAAGTATTTCCAGGTAGGTTTATTTTGTTTATTAGACCTTGTTTGGTTTTAAACAAGAGTTTCATATTTTAGGGTCCAAGGTACGGGTAGTGTCTTATGTACGACATTATCTTATGTACGGATGTCCTGTGGACGAGTGTCCCCAGTAAGAATGATTTTTTCTTACATATAAGTGCCACAGCGTGGATGTAGCTTGAGTCCCATGCTGCTTCGTTCCCAGCTATAAGCTAGTTAGTTACGGCTGTATCAATTCATGGTGTCCTCATTCTGGCCCCTTTGGTTGTGTTGGATGGCTGAGTACAGAGATGCGAGACCACCTCACGCTGTTACTGTTTAAAGCAAGATTACATAAAGAACAGCTAAGTGTAGATTTAAGTTCTAGTTTTACATTTAACATTTAAAACATTTACAGTCTTAAACAATAACGTACATCTTAAATAATATCGTACAGACTATGTTTAGTGGTTAGATTGTTAAGAACATTCATGTCGATTTAATATTTAATATAATAATTAATACTAAATATAATTTAGATCTTAGGTTTCATTGCATTACATCTTGTAATGGTATTACTTTTATAGATATTATTATCGCACTATTTTAACAGATGAATAACCAAACATAGATTCTAGAATCTACAGGTTGCAACATCTTCGATTTAGCATCATATGGAATATATCAAATTAATTAAAGTAATGCTACATTTCATATATTCTCTTAAACTTTACATGTCTTGTATTTTATCGTAGTTGTTTTCATTGATATTTAGTACGACTCTTACCACCACTTTCTTTGACATATAACCACTATATATTTATTAGAACTCTACAATGTCATGTACCATCTAAGAACATCATGAATAAATATAGTCATTAGTTTGCAATATACAACTGTGTTTTCTTCATGCCTGGCGCCCAATATTTATAATTTGAGTTATTATTGTTAATTAGTTTCTTTCCAGTGAAATACCTTATCCACGACTGCTCTACCAACGAAAAGCTGCCGTGATAATGTTTTAAAAAAAACGCTACAATCTGGCCGTTAGTTTTTTGGGGGGCTGGGGGGTTGGTAAGGGGGTATGGGAGGGGGTTAAAAATTTAAAAAAATCGTAACTCCGAAATTACAGTAGCTAGCAAAACGCGGTTTTCAATTTAAGATTAGAATAATATTTGCAACAAAATTTAATAACATCAAAATCAATAAAGTCGCAGTTTTTGAGATAAAAAATTGAAAAATTCCTTTTACTTTGAAACTAAACCCATACAGTTACCATCAAATCAATACATTACTTTACGATGTGTTTACATTATTAGATGTAAAACACAGGGTGACACACCTCTGATGTAAATATGCTACGTTTACATTACTGTAGTTCAACACGTATGCACAAAGGTTAAACGTCCGCCTCACAATGTAGCCACAGTATAGGATTTACGTATACACAAAGTAAGGGATACACAGTGTGCCCTAGGATACATAGTGCTTGTGTTTTACGTTTAAAATATGTTTACACATTGCAGTTGTGACTACCGCGCGTATACGTATGTATTTTGCTTCGTATATACATCTTGTGCTAGATAAAACTACTTCTTATGAACGAATTTAGGAAATAATACAAGTTTTGATGCCTAACTTTTCGCTCTTTTTAAGAAATATTTATTCAATGATATCAATTATATCTTTTTAGAACGAAAATTAGGAAAGCAAAACTTTGTATTTTCCAAAAGTATCTCGATCGTAAGTTCGAGAGAAGTAGCCTTAAAATTGTTCCATTTTTGTTTTGTATTAAATGTAGCATTTTTCTTCCATAAAATGGATTAAGTGGTTAAAAAATAAAATTCTTATATTTCTTTATATCATGGAACGCAATAGCGCAAATAACACAATAATAATAATTATTTACACTGCAGAAACCAGAAGTAAGAAAACAATGTAAAAGAACAGAATTTGTATCAAAATGTATTAAAAATATAAGTACCTAGTATAACAACATACTAAAATGGTAAACACTTGAATTTAAGACTCAGCCTGTATAAAGTTCCTTATTTTTTTTGGTGGATAATAAGAAAAGTATCCCACAAAAACTCCGTAAAATACTGAATTCGAAAACAACTTGTTCATAAAACAAATTTTTCGGAGAAAACAAATTAACTCTAAAGTAAATTTAATAATGTTGTCTTCTTAAACAGAGATGCAAACATCCTAAGGGTTTTCATTGTTGAACGTTATTTATTCTTAACAAAAAAAAAACGTCTAATTAATTAAAATGAAAAAATATAAAAAAATTAATAATCAAGTAAAAGAAATGTTTTTGTTGCCAAAAATATTTCTTTTCTTTTAGGTGATAAAAAATTATATTTTTTACTTATCTGTCTTTATATTAATTTAGCGTTTGCATTTATTTCTCCTACTTATAGTAGGGGGGCTCAATATGGCTAAGTGGAGCGTTCTGGAGACCTATTATGGGGATAATTGTATTATGAAAATTCAAAAAAAATATGACGTATGCCCTTTTACTAGCCGGGGGAGCGTGTACAGGGTGGGTCAAATTGGACGCTTTTAAATGGAAACACCATTTCAAATAGCAGATAGACGGAAACTAATATCGGTGTCTGAAGCTCAATTTTTATCAAAAACATGATGGTGAAAACCGCACATCAATATCTGTTACCGCTTCGGAGTTACGGGGTGTTTTTCATAGCGCATTTTAACAAATCGCTGTAACTTTTTACTATGGAAAATTTTGTATTTCTATGAAACATTTCCATAGCGCACCTTTTACGTAGAATTTAATGGTTTAAGCATAATTTTTTAAAATTAATAATTTAAGAGTTATCAACAGAAAAATTGATTTTTATTTGGGACACTTCTCTATATTTTTAATTAACCAAAATAATTTAAAATTAATTTTCCAAAAATATAGCACACTTGATATTTTGTTATAATCCCCTCCGAAATACAGAATTTTTAAAAGTTCACCACTTTTAACTAGTAGGCTTTGGACCCCTTATTGATGATATGCCCTTAATGGAACTCGAAAACGTATTTTTATAGCAAGACGACGCACCGCCTCTGAACGCTGAAATTATCAGCAAATTTTTGCAGCCAATTTCAAGAATAATTGAATAGCCAACCAAGATCCCAGCCGTTGGCCGTCGAGGCCGCCTGACTTAGTGCCCATGGATCTAATCTTATGGATATATTTGCGGAAGAATAAAGGTTCCTTATTCTTCCGTATAAACTAGACAAGAATAAGAAATACTTAGCAGTTATGAGAGGGTATCTTTCACCCCCACTGAGTTTATGAATTCCGCGAGAAATGTTCAAAAACTGCCCCGTCTGTCCATAACAGAAGACGATTGATATGTCGAACACCTGTAGCAAAATCTCATGTCTTGGTTTGCTAGTTATTTTTATTGTTATTAGATATAGTTTAAATGTGTTGATGTTGGTTAAATATATTTTAAATTGTTATAAAATTCTGCATCTCTCATAGCAAATATTATTTTCGTTATGCTCACAACTAGATTTTTTTTGCATTACAGCCGGTGCCGTTCAAAGCCTATACTTATTTAAAGCGGCCGAATTTGTATATACTCTATATCTCGAAGAGGAATGGAGCAAAATATCAAGTGAGTTATATTTTTGGAAAGGTAATTTTAAATTCTTTTCAATAAATTAAAAATATACAGGGTGTCCCATATAAAAAATCAAATTTTCTGTTGATAATTTTTAAATTATTAATTAAAAAAAAAATTATACTTAAACCATAAAATTCTACGTAAAAAGGTGCTTTGGAAATGTTTTCATAAAAATACAAAATTTTCCATAGCAAAAAAGTTCCAGCGATTTGTTAAAAATGCATATTTTTGAAAAACACCCCGTAACTCCGAAACGGTAACAGATATCGATATGCGGTTTTCACCATCATGTTTTTGACAAAAATTGAGCTCCAGACACCGATATTAGTTTTTGCCTATCTCTTATAGAAAAGGGTGTTTCCATTGAAAAGCGTCGAATTTGACCCACCCTGTACAGGTTTACAAAAATGTAAAAAAAACAGCCACAAAAAAATACTACTTTTACTATATTTTTTGTATTTTTTACTACATTTTTGTATTTTTTTATTATATTTTTTGTAGAAGATATCCAAAGAATCAAGTAGAGTTTACAACAATTTATCCCTTCATGGTTGACACTGGATTGTGCAAAAATTATGAAATCACAGCCGATTTCATAATGCCGATGGCAAAAGCAGAAGAGGTTGTAAATGAGATCTTCAATGCGCAAACTCGAAATATAAGGCACATTATAGTGCCCACCTATATGACAGGTCTCATTGACTTGTTTACGAAGTAAGGATATTAGAAAATGAGTTATAATGAATAAACTAAATCATTTACTAACAATTTTCTGATACTTTAAGATACTGGCCACGAGAAGTAACAAACCATGCAAGAGATACGTTTAGAGCCGAGCTGAAATCAGACTTGGAAATAGTTACTAATGGCAATAGCATTAAAAAGCACAGTTAGGAACAATGAGTGACAACTCACCCACAGATTAGAACACATTCTCAATGTAATTAGTATTTAAATTGTATTACCAACTTAATTTTTACAAAATAAATCTATTTTTAACTTAGGATGACCAAGTCGTCGCGATGTCTCAAACACTCCATATTTTGATATCTGGTATATAAAATAGATTTTCCGAAACATTATATTTTCCTAAAATATTTTCTCTTGAAACATCACAACATCCATTTCAAATAGTGGAAATCAATATATCATTAATTAGAACTATCGAGACGAATACTATCGAAACATTCGATAGTTGCACCATTCGAATAATTCGATAGCTAGTAAGAAAACATTCGTTGAAAACTATTCGAATAAAAATATCGAATAGATGCGTCATCTGCCTTGGAAATATATTACATCTGGCAGCAAACCATTCATTTAAAAATTCATTCATTTGTAAAATTCATTTATTCGTCAGGATCGATTATAATAAAATATAAATTGGATTTTAGTTGTCGCCCGGCGACGTAGGTTTCTTTCCTAGAAACCCGACAGCGGTCGGCGGTCGGTGGCAATGGTATGAAAAAAGCCGGCATCTTTGATTTTGAGTCAGATAAAGGTAAGGACACATTATTTTTTTATTGAAGTGCTAGTATTTACACAAAAAATACATTATGAACGGCGCTGTTGCCGTATATTCGTATTAGTTGGTATTAGCAAAGAATATTATTCTTTGGCATTGTAGTTAGTTAGGGATAGTATGACCTGTGGTTTTGGTATGACTATATATTTTGCATTTTTTTTATTAATATTCTGTCTGTTTTTACACTGCAATAATACTTTTTATTTTGGATGTAGGAAAATTATTTTTAATGTTTTTAAGCAAAACTGGTTTAATAAATAATAATAACAGTAATAATTTGTTATACCTATTAATACCAAAATTTAAAATCATTTAATATAAACATTTTTTTAAGTAGTAGCAAAATATAAACAACAAAATAGAAGTCAAAATTATTTATATTAGATCCTATTTAAAAATAATATACTCTCTAAATTTTTTGGCAACGTTGGTTTATTAAATAATAATAATTACAGAACTAATTTGTTATATTAACAACAAATTTTAAAATCATGAAATATAAACATTTATTAATTTTCTAAGCATGCAGTGTAATAGAAGAAAAATATAAATAAAAAATTAGAAATCAAAATTATATATGTGTATTACTTTTTATTACTTTGTATTAGTATTTAAAAATAATATATGCTTTTACTGGCATTTACTTTAAAAAATAAATGAAATATTTCTCCGCAAAAATCTACATTAAGAGAATTAGCATAAACAAAATACAAATATCGTTAACTTTTTTTTTAAATTGGCACGTGTAAAACTTTAATCAATCAATTTAATTTTCTCATCCCAAAATTGAGTTCGATAATCATTTACTTAACCGCATTACCACATTACTTAAATATGATTATTAAGTTCAACTAATTCATATTACTAAAACATCTAAAATACAAATACATATGTATTTTTAAAATTAATTGTAAGTTCACCTCATCTCTCTTAAAAGTTGTTACTTCTCAAAATTTCCCATTAAAAAAATAGACCATATACCGTATAAAATTAAGTAATTGAAAGATCGGAAAATCACACAAATTTTCAGAAAAATTTTAACCACCTGCACACGTACACAATCATCAATTTAAAAAAAAACACTACTACTTTAGTATTTTAAATATTTTAATAAACGCAAAAATAGCACAGTATTTAGAAGGCAAGTTATAAAAATTTGGAAGGACTAATGATGCACTGACGCAGACAAAAATCAAACGAATACTAAATTTCATTTATAAAAAGCATTCGATAGTCGTGGCTTAACGATAATCATTTAGTCGCACGGCGAGGTTGTCACATGCTTTAGTATACAAATGAATGAATGATTTTATTCGAATGAAACCATTCGATAGTTGAAATCATTCATTCAGTAACCATTCGATAGTCTAATTCATCTGATAGTTCTTATCAAGCATCACAATACATAGCCTGCATAATTTATAAAAAAATATAGGGCTTTTCCTGTTCACCATGTATAGAATATTTTATCTAAATATACTAAGAAATTATTTTTTTCACTGGCTTGCTTTGTTATATATGAAATGTAACACAAAAACGTTAGATTTTTATCTTTATAGTTCCCGAGCCATAAAAATGTCATGACAATCACATAATTTTAAAATAAAAATAAATCGTAAAGCTGTTTTTAAAAATATCCCTTGACAAGTGATATTATCGCATATTTAAAATGGCATGAAAATATATAGAGTTAAAGCATTAAACTGGATTTTACTTTTCACCACCCATTTTCCACACAATTTTCCATGAAAAAAAAATTTAATTTCCTATAATTTCCTTCTTTCTTTTCAAGTGCTGACATCTGTGATGGAGGATACAAACTAATAATGAATTTTCAACGATTTTACATAGTACAGAAATTGTTACGCGACAGAATAGCTTTGGCTATTCGTCGCTAGATGGTAGCAGCAGATATTTTTTTTATAAAGATGCGTTGAATTTTATAATTTCTGTTTTAATTTTGTTATACTTAATATTCTATTAATGTACTTACGTCTCATTATATTTGATGTATGCATTTTGGTTTGGGACTTACCTGCAATAAAAAAAATAGAGTTAATAATATACAAACGAATGATAATAATTAAATATATTAGGAAAACTGCAATATAAAAATTATTAGATAAAAAATCCAGTCGACTAAAGCAACTAGACTTAACGAGTGATGGCTTAAAAATTACTAAATTCATAATTATTATGTCGGTACATAAATGAATCCAATATAGAGCCCCACATTTTTGTGGGGCAACAGTGGGGCCCTATATGTGTAGCTGTGCTGAGATTATGTATAAATAATCAAAAAAATCGTTTAAAATAAATTTACTTCTCTCTTTAAATATATACAAAAAGTATATAGTTATACCCTTATTGTTATACTTTAAAGATTTTTAAATTAATTTGTATTTATTTAAATATATTTAACTGAACTAGCTAATTGGAGAATAAATACAATCATTTAGGTACATCGTCTTCAGTGTGACAAAAGATAATTACATTAATTTACCACTATACACTAAAACATTTTATTTTACCATCATCAAATACAAAAACTGAATAATTATATTAACATATTGATGATGCACAGAGTTTAAAATAGAGTAGAAGGGTATGAATAAACTGTCTTATTTTTTATATTAAAATTTGTATTTCTTAATTTTCTAATTAATTTAATAAATAAATACTAAAAATAAACCTTTCACTGCTGGACAATATTTTCTAGAATTATAAACTTTTTATCATAGAAAACAATATTTCGACAATTATAGAACACTAATTTTACCTAAATTATTTTATTTAGATTTTCAATGCAATTATTTACCAACAAAGAATCTATTTACTATTTATTTTTTACCAAAATGGCGGTTGTTCTTAATTTTATTAGTTAGTATGTAAATTAATAATGATTCATCTTGACAAACATCTAAAAAATAGTAATAATTACAACAGTAAAAATCGTTGTGTAGCTAATAGTAAATTGTGTAGTCAATAATGCACTAAAACACTGGATCAAAGAAAAGCAGACCGCTGACTGGAGAAACAGGCAGGGGTACAGGCATAGTAAGGCCTTCATCCAATGATATAAAACCACAAAGAAACTGTTAATGGTCAGGGATACAGTGCAAATTGGAACAGATCGCTTGACGGGAGATAACTGTCAATGCTACCTGAACAAGCTTAATCGGTCTCTTTAATCAAGGAAGTCTTTCTGCATACTCTGCGATAAAGATCCTGAAATAGCAGAGACCTTATTATATCACTGCGACGTTCTGGATTGCAAGCAACACTTTCTATTTGGGAAAATACCTAGAAAAGGAGGAACTATGCTCCTATCCTATCAAGGGTCTGCACAAACTAATCCAGGGCACTGAGATAAGATCTTGTACATCTCTGACTATACGTATGTGAATTGTGAATTATTTTATATTTATTTTATTATGATTACGTGAGCTTTAGGAATATAAGCCTGTCCAACAATCCTGACAATTTTACCTGTCAGTTTAATTCATAAACAAATTGTATTTTCTGTCATTTTTGGTTGTCTCCTGTCAAATTCAACTTTGGATCATTGGACAGACTTTAATTTGTGACATTTTGATGTTACGAACTAGGCACATTTAATGTGCCTTATTTAATGGCGCCTTTTGATACAAATATATAAGCAGTATAAATGGTTCTATAAAAATTACCCTCTAGGAAACTCTGATCCAATAACTACAGTCCATCCTCTCCGCCTCCTCAAAACTCTTTTCTCGAATGCAGCAAAGTCGTCGTTCTTCTTTCTTTGCATATCTGTGGTTGAGTTGTTTATTTCCTATTACTCCTTAGATCACTTTTAAGCACTATTAAAACTACAATCACATTTTAACCAAAAGCAAACTTTTTGAAGAACACATATACTTAACACATGAATATTATTAACAAATTAATATTCTTGACACACAAACCTTCGCAGATTTTAACTATAGGTACGTAAAATTTTCTGCCAAACAATTTTTAATTCACATTAATACAATACGTAACTGAGGAGGAAAAACTATTTTTAATGAACTGTCATTTCCATTTAAGTTTCCCAGCTATGAAATGTGTCAAATGAATCGTCAAACAGAACTGTCAAGGATCCCCACCCTAGAGAGCTTTTATGGTGGCTTTTTCCGCCCACCATGCATGAATACATGGATAGCATTATGCTCCTTCCTTAGTCTTCTTATTCAAAGTTAACTTAGGATGACCAAGTGGTCGCGATGTCTCAAACACTCCATATTTTGATATCTGGTATATAAAATAGATTTTCCGAAACATTATATTTTCCCTAAAATATTTTCTCTTGAAACATCACAACATCCATTTCAAATAGTGGAAATCAATATATCACAATACATAGCCTGCATAATTTATAAAAAAATATAGGGCTTTTCCTGTTCACCATGTATAGAATATTTTATCTAAATATACTAAGAAATTATTTTTTCTACTGGCTTG